GATCCCTTTCCGAATTCAAACTGCAGTCTCCTCGCACGACACTAGCTCCTCCTTCGAACGGTACTCCTTGGAACGTCACTCTTCCTTGAACCTCTTTCTCCATTCAAACGACACTCCTCCTTCAACCTTACCCAAAACCTTTTGGTCACTTCGACCATCATGAAAGTCAAGAACCCTACCATTCCAATGATTAAAGAAGATGAGTCTAAACGTAAGCTTAAGTTGGTAAAATTAGGGGAAATTAATCCTGCTAAATATCTTCTCAAGAAGTCGGACTCAAAGCAGAGTAAAGAAATTCAACGAATAGAAGATCCTCAGAAGTTGAATCCTCTCGTTCCAAACAAAGAAATTAAGGTAATTACCCATTGAGCCAGCAAAATTACATGTTTTTGTGTTCTAACTTTGAATTTGTTTGTCCGTGTTCTACTGTGTTTGAATGGGTTTGACTGTGCTTTTCAAGATATTCTAATGTGAATTTGACTGTGTTCTACCGTGTTTCACTGTCGTCCGGCTTTAATTTATTTTATCTTGCTATGTTAAGTTTGAACCAGTTTGACCTTGTTCTGCCGTGTTTGACTATGTTCGACCATGTTTGACTATTAATAATTAGAACACTTATTCATGATATATTTTGTTCACGTTCCATCATATCTCCTATGGTTGACACAACACTCTTTCCTAACATGAAAATTACAATAAAAAGTTTATTGAAGAAGTTTCAAGCAAAAATGAAGTGTTGCTTAGGTGATCATCCCAACCTATTGAATCAATTTAGGCCCACCATGTTTGACAAGTACATAAACATACAATGTCCCTGCACCAATCCTTATGTGGCCTTTAAGTGGTAGAATAACATATATATTGAGAGAACTTCATAATATAATTGTGGTTTGTCATGAAGGGAGTTTCAATTTGTTACTCTTTAAAGAAGTTGGCTTTAATTAGTGGGTTGAACTGCGCTTCTCTGGACAAAGACAATTTTGAGAATGACTATGAAGAGGAAGATCGAGCAAATTTTATTGACACTCACTGGCCTCTGTTCTTCATGATGGAAGTAAAGATAAATTTGGTTATAACACAATATTAAATCGTTTTCACCAATTTTCTAATCATTTAAACCATCATGATAGAGCTAAAAAAATATGAAGCATGATCTGAAGTGATAAGAATGACATCACTTGTGTTTATAATGATTGTTCTATTTGCCCCTGTCAAGAGTGACAATTTCATTTCTGATTGGATCATTGCACAAGTTGGTAGCTACTTTTTAGACTTCCTGTGGGGTACATGGTCTTTTACCGAGTCTCTTAATTCGTTGAAAAGGAATTTAAAAAAGAAGATGGATGAGATTAGGCATCAAATGTCACTCCAACATTATACTATACGAGTTTCTTTACTCCGATATCGGTGATATACTTTAATTTATGACTATTGAATTAAATTTTTTATGTTTAGTATTTATTGTATTAATTATTATTTGAATATCTTTTTTAGATTTTGTTGTTGGAGTGTGTGCCAGACTTTGATGAAAAATTACTTTCATACAAAAATAAACTACTCCTATCTCTCTTTATACTCCCTCCGTCCCTTAAAACTTTGCCAACTTTCCTTTTTTTGATGTCCCACTAACTTTGCCACTTTCTCTTTTAAGTAAAGAATTTGTGGTTCCACTTAATTCTCTCTCCTCTGCACAAACCTCAACCACACAGTTTTTACTTTATTAATCCTCGTGTCGGTCAAACTTGGCAAAGTTTTAAGGGACGGAGGTAGTATTTGTCTTTGGAAGCCTAAAGAGATAAAGGAGAACTTAAACAGCCAGGAAGTACACAAAGTTGTAGAAGGTGCAAAATAAGTCATATTACAAATTTCATTCATTTATCCATTTCGGAAAATTTTGTAACATATATGTTTTTCCAAATTGAGTGATCATTGTAGATTGATCATCCATAGAGTGTGCAGAATATTCTTTTTCCTGATTCTTTGGAGGCTCAGACTGAATGGATCACCTCATTAAAATCAATAGAGGAGAACTACAATAACATTGAGATTGATGTTAATGTTCTTCAACTAGAGAAGAACTTGGTTCTTATTCATGTCTCTAGGAAAAGATCGGAGAAGCCAAAGAAAAAATATGTTCCATCAAAAAAGAAAAATGAATTTATCACAAAAGTGATAAGGAAGATGAAGCATACCTAAGAGATGATTGTCCACTTACCCCAATTCACCACACTACTGATATTCCTCCTCCAACACAACCTCCTTCCCTAGACAAAGCTTTGATAGATTTGCTATCTGAGTGCATTACGATATTTATAGACAAAAAAAATCCAGATCTTGAAGCAAATTCTGATAAAAGAGTCGACTTCTCAAATTTTGAGAAAAGAGTCGACTTCTCAAATTCCGAGAAATGAGAGTCCACTCTTTTCTCAGAATTTGCTTCAAGAACTTGAATTTTTTGTCTAGATGTACCGTAATACGCTCACATAGTGAATCCATCAAAGCTTTGTCTAGGGAAGAAGGTTGTGTTGGAGGAGAAATACCAGTGATATAGGGAACAAGAGTAAGTGGACAGTCATCTCTTCTGTATGCTTCATCTTCCTTATCACTTTGTGATAAATTCACTTTTTTTATGGAACATATTCTTTCTCTGGCTTCTCTGATCTTTTCCTTGAGACATAAATATGAACCAAGTTATTCTTTAGTTGAAGAACATATGTATCAATCTCAATGCTATGGTAGTTTTCCTCTATTGATTTTAATGAAGTGATTCATTCAGTCTGAGCCTCCAAAGAATTAGGAAGAAGAATACTTTGCACACTCTAGAGTTAAAAAAATTATGTAAATTAGAATATGTTTTACTACTGCCAGGTTTGACCATCGTGGACCAAGTTTGACCATGGTTGATCAATCTACGGTGATCACTCCATTTGGAAAAACATATATGTTGCAAAATTGTCTGAAATGGATAAAGGAATGAAATTTGTAATATGACTTACTTTTACACCTTTTACAATCTCCTGGACTTCCTGATTATTTAAGTTTTTCTTTATCTCTTTCGCCTTTTAAAGACAAATGCGAGGAGAGACATGAGTAGTTTGTTTTTGCTTGAAAGCAATTTTTTAGCAAAGTCTGGCACACACTCCAACAACAAAATCTAACAAATATATTCAAATAATAATTAATTCAACAAATACTAAAAATAGAAATTTTAATTCAATAGTCATAAATAAAAGTATCTCACTGATATCGGAGTTACGAAACCCGTATAGTATAATGTTGGAGTAACATTATGATGCACACTCTCATGCATATTCTTTTTTAAATTCTTTTTCAACGACTTAAGACTCCATAAATGCCCATGTACCCCACATAAAGTCTAAATAGTAGCTACCGACTTGTGAGATGATCCAATTAGAAATGTAATTGTCTCTCTTGACAGAAGCTAAAAGAACCATCACTGTAAACGCAAGTGATGCCATTCTTATCACTTTAGACCGTGCTTCATCTTTCTTAGCTCTATCATGATGGTTTCACTAATTACCAAGTTAGTGAAAACGATCTAAAATCGTGTTAAAACTAACTTTATCTGTACTTCCATCACAAAGAATAGAAGGCTAATGAGTGTCAATAAAATTTGCTCGATCTTCCTATTCTCAAAATTGTCTTTGTCCAGAGAACTGCAGTTCAACCCACTAATTAAAGCAAACTTCTTTAGAGAGTAGCGAATTGGAACTTCATTCATTACAAACCACAATTATATATTTTGAAGATTTCTAAATATCCGCTACTCTACTAGTAAAAGCCACATAAGGATTGATGCAGAGACATATTGTATGTCTAACTTGCGAAATATAGTCGACCTAAACTGATTCAATAGGTCGGGATGGTCACCTGACCAACACTTCATTTCTGCTTGAAACTTTTTTAATGGAGTTTTTATTATAATTTTCATTTCAGGGAAACATGTAGTGTTAACCAAAGGAGATATGGATGAAACTCACCTAAACAAAATATATCATGAATAAGTGTTTTACTTATTAATAGTCAAACACGGTCAAACACGGTAGAATAAGGTCAAACAAGCTCAAACTCAACATAGTAAAATAAAATAAATTAAAACTATAACACAGTCAAACACTGTAGAATACGGTAGAACACAATAAAAAACGCATTCAAACACATTCAAATTCATATTAGAATATAGTAAAAAACAGTCAAACTCGTTCAAACACAGTAGAACACGGTCAAACAAATTCGCAGTAAGAACAAAAAAACATGTAATTTGTTCGGCTCAATGGGTAATTACCTTGATTTCTGTGTTTGGAGCGAGAGGATTCAACTTTTGAGGATCTTCTACTGGTTGAATTTCTTTACTCTGCTTTGAGTCCGATTTCTTCAAAAGATGTTTCACATGATTAATTTCCCCTAATTTTACCAACACATGCTTACGCTTAGTCTTATCTTCTTCAACCTTTGGAATGGTAGGGTTTAGGGGTGGTTCGGTACGGTATACCGAAGATTTTATCTCATACCTTTACCATACCGTAAACTTTCGGTATGCAAAAATACATACCGTTACCATACCTAAATTTCGGTATACCTTGTTTCGGTATACCAAAATTTCGGTACGGTAAGCTACGGTATTGGTAAATTATCATGATTTAATATCAAATTATTGTATATCAAATGAAATATAGAAAATCAGTGTTAATAGTGATATACTAAAATTATTAATGAAATTAATTATAAAAGCCAATGATAACCTATTTGTGTTCTATTCAATTTTGAACAAAAAAATATTATAAATATGTACGGATACTTCAACACATGATATATGAAGATAACAACACATTCTGCTAAAATAATAATTTAAACAACATAAATATATTTGAAATAACATCAATCTCCAACAAAAAGTATAAATAATTCAAGAAACATGGATATAAAGTCATTATCCTTGCATTAATGTTGTGTTTCTAGTTATTTTTATAATTTTAAAGAAACTATTGACTTGAAATTACGGTATGACGGTATAACGGTATACCGTTTATTTCTAAAATATATACCGATACCATACCGAAGTAATTCGGTACAGTATTATCCCGTACCAAAAGTGTCGGTATACCAAACACTTCGGTAAATTCAGTATTTTTCGATATGATAAGTCCGGTATACCGAAATTTCGGTATTTTCCCCACCCCTAGTAGGGTTCTTGACCTTCACGATGGTCAAATTGGTGAGAAGGTTTTTGGCTAAGGTTAAAGGAGAAAGAGGGTAAGGAAGAGTGCCTTTGAAGGAAGAGCGTCGTTCGAAGGAGTATCGTTCAAAGGAGGAGTGCCGTGGGAGGAGACTGCAGTTCAAATTGGTAAAGAGATTGATTCTGTATATTTGAGAGAAGGGTTTGGAAGGACTCCAGATTATCCATAGTATTCAAATTCTATCTCTTAACTCTTTTAATATGACTTATTATTTGATTTTACATGTTTTTAATTCTTTAAAAAAGAAAAGGGCATTGTGATAAGGAAAAATTGACAAAAATAATCTCACCTTTCACTGGTCTTCTCATACTAATCCTACCTTTACATAATCTCAAAATAATCTCACATTTTCATCTCATCTTCTTTCATTGGACCCTGACCAAATTTTTTTACATTTCTTTGAAAATCTTATATAAATAATCTCACATTTATAAAGATATAATAGAAAAGTGAAAGGTGAGATTATTTATATGATTTTCAAAAAAAGAGTAAAAAACATGGTCAAGGTCCAATGAAAGAAAATGAGTTGCAAAGGTGAGATTATTCTGGGGTTACCTAAAGGTGAGATTATTATGAGAATACCAGCGGAAAATGAGATTATTTTTGTTTATTTTTCCTTGTGATAATATAAGTTTAAAATGAAGTCCTTTGAGAGGTGAATATACTCCTCGCCCACATCGTACATTTCACCTTCAAAAAATAAAATTTACGGATTATAACAATTTAGACAAATGAGGGGTAACTTTACAAACTAAAAAAATGCAATTTTCCCATTCTTATAAAATTTCCTTTTCTTTTCCTCTTAACCTGCTTTCTCGGATTGTCTTCATTGTTTCTGGGAGAGTCCCAGACGCACTATGCGGGTCTGTTTGTGGACGGTCAGTTGAAATGGGCGGCGTAGGAAGAGCGGAGGTGTTTAGTAGCAAAGGGTGTTCAAGGGTGTCTGTCGACATCTCTTCTTCATTCAGGGGACTGCAATCTCATTCTTCAAAGCCACAGTTGACCATGCATCCGTCTTCTGCTAGCACTGATGTAATAGAATCTAGGGAAGAAGCTCGCTCAGTTGGCCCATTTTCTGGGCTTATCATCTGCGTAACGGGATTGTCAAAAGGTATATTAGAATGCTGCTTATGGTCTGCGACTCTGCGCTGTTATACCAAGATAAATTCCGCTATTGAACTTTGTTCCTCATGAATTATGATGATTTGGCACTTGTGACTTGTCATTCTGGTCTTGTAATTATCTGCTTCTCCCGTATCAAGTTTGGTTATTTAATGTATAATTCTATGGTGTAAAGCATAAATGGTTTATTGATGTTATGAGTTATGACTCATGACTCTGCTTAAATGTTGGTTGGCAGAAGTCAGGATGCAAGTTATGAAAGCAACAGAGGAGCTGGGTGGGAAATATAGCCCACATTTGCATTCTAAATGTACCCATTTGGTGGTTCAAATATCCTTTACTTCCTCAATCTTGCATTCCCCTTCTTTTCTTGGTAAGAAATTCGTTAGGTATTTTGATTTCCCCGTTAAATGATACAGAGCAACCTCTTCTTTCTTTGACCCTCTTCTTTTCCATACACTGTGTGAGTGTATACTGTTTAGTAATTCACATAAAATGTTGATTTATCAATCAACAATAAAAATGGCAGCTGACTAGCAGTTTGTTGCAGGGAGGTCTGTTTATGTACTTGGATTGTTTCCACATCTTGTCCTAGGCGGTTGTTTAGTTAACATATTTAGTGTTTCTACTGTCATGGTTCCTTAATGCCTTTTAAAGATTTCATGGCCACAAATTTGAGCATGCCCTGAAACATGGATCCAGAAATGGTCTTTCGATTGTTACGCTGAGTTGGTTTGTGGATTGTGTCAAAAATAATGGTAAGACATTTCGTTTTTCTTGCTTCTTGCAAATATTTATGAACAAGCGTATTATGCTTGAAAATGTTTGAAAAACTGGACACATGGCAGCATCCCTAATTTTTAGCACATCATATTCTTGCCAATTGTTTTTACACTACCTCATTTGTCTGCTATTGTATTTGTCATTGAAATAGCTGAACTCCTTTTGCAATTTGTTTTTGTTTTCTTTTTGCAGTGATTTTGAGGTTGCCTTTTTAAACCTCAAAATTTATTTGATGAATATTTTATGCTGCTTTTTATAAACAGAAAGGTTGAGTGAATCACGTTACAGTGTTAAAGTTGCTGGAGATGGTGTTTCTTTGGATGTTTTCAACCGACTTATCCAGAAGGATGACATTCAGGCTTCTTGTATTCCTTTGGGAACATATGAGCGTCTTAGGAAGTCAGACGTGATTGAAGAGCCACAACCAAATATTTTAGAAAGAGAATATGCGAAAAGAATGATAAGATCTCCTTTGTCTGGTTATTCATTGTATGTAGATATTGGTGTGTCTGATGAACTACGTAGCAAGGTATATTTGTGGTGAATGATGCTTAGAGATTTAGGTTCTATTCTTTTGGGATTGAGTTTCAAAATTTTCCTATATTTGTTGTTTTTAGATCTAATATATTTTTTGTTTATAGATCTAATATATTTTATGAAGTAACAGTCAGAATGGGCGGAGCTAGGGCCTAGGGGTGGGCCAAACTAGGCCATGGTCCGCCCCAAATTTTAAAAATGGCTTAATTTTTAAGGTAAAAAATTTCGTGCAAATTTTTTATAAAAATATTTTTTGTACCGGCCCAGTCCGACTCAGTGCCCTAGCTCCGCCCCTGACAGTCTATGCAATTTTCGACGCGATTTTCACTATGGGTCATTCGGAAACAGTCTCTCTATGCTTTAGTGCAGGGGTGAGACTGTGTACATCCGATTTTCACTATGGGTCAGTCTGCAATTTTCGACGCGATTTTCACTATGGGTCATTCGAAAACAGTCTCTCTGTGCTTTAGTGCAGGGGTAAGACTGTGTACATCCGACCCCCTTACCCCACCGTAGGTGGGAGCCTTTGCGGCACTGGGGTAATGATGATGATGATGAGATCTAATATATTTTATGTTCATCCTAGGTGCATTTTTTAATTTTTCAAGTCACAATTTGTTATAAGTTATTAAAACGCATGCAAACTCATCTTACTCAATTTGGTGCTACACTTAGGTTGTTGAAGCTGCTTCTGCGCAAGGGGCTGCTTTGGTAGATCAGTGGTTTATCGGTTGTGGTGCCACTCACATAGTCTGTGAAGGAAATTCTATTCAGAAATATCTTGGTCATTCTGCAAATATTGTTACTGTAAGTGGCTTCCTTCTGTTCCATTTTGTGCATTTAGTATGGACTGCAAAATATTTCTTTCTGCTTCAGCCATTATGGGTTCTGAAGACCGTAAAGGAAAAGCAACTGCAAAGGCTTGTTCACATATCAGCTGATCTTGCTAAGCAAACAGGAACATTGATTGAGAATATTCAATCTGGCATTCATAAAGAGGTATACTTTTTTTGTTTACTAATATTCTATTCACTTTTTTTTGTTCCATCATTTGTAATGGAGGCAAAGATTCATTATTTTTTGGCTTGAGAATATGATGGGATAAAGCAAAATGGCTCACTAAACTGTCTGCGCTTCTTTGTTATGAAGCAGCAGTCAGTCCATGCAATTTTGGACGCGATTTTCACTATGGGTCATCCGGAAATAGTCTCTTTGTGCTTTAGTACAGGGGTAAGGTGGGAGCCTTTGCGGCACTGGGGTAAATGAAAATGAAAATGAAAATGAAATATTCTATTCACTTTTTTTTCCCTAAAGATATGGCTACACATACTCTTCTGTCATTGTAAAAGAGTAGGTGTTTGATTTGTGAAGATTAATTTTAAATGCCTATTAAAAGCATTAAGCATTGAGATGTATTCATCTCATTGGCAATCCCACGGCCCATCGGTCAGTTTTTCTAATCTGTTGCCTATTTTTGAACCCAAACTATCAGTGGATATTGAACCCAAACCTGCATACTTTTACTACTTATTTCTTAACTTTTTATATTACAACAGCCCATCGCGTTGTTTTTTCCCCTAAAATACAATGGAATTACATAATTGGTAAAATAAAAATGTTCTTAAAGTGAATTACATAAAAAAGGGATAGCAAAAGCCTCACGCACCTGCACATGTAGGTGTGTGCCAACAAGGTGGGGTGGTTTGGCGTTGTCTGATTTTGTGAAGAGATTTCCGGAGACCCAGAATTGATAGGCTTGTTCATCTATGTACCTATGGGTGGAAAGAAACTTTAATTTAATGTGAACAATTCTTTCGGATAACAAATTGAAGGACGGTAAACACGATTTTTTCTATTGAAAAAAATTAGTCAACGGGGGTAGCTTTGATACAATGTTGAAAGAGAGAAAACAACGTAGGAGAGAAGATGGCATCTTTTTCACATAAAAATGAATTACTATTACTTGTATATACACTTATACAGCTTATGCACACATAAAATGTCTCATAAATTACTCTCTAGAACAATAGAACATATAGCAGATTAGCATTTAGCAGTAATTTAGTATATCACCCAACCTAGAGTTCAGTGTTGTCCCTTTCTTTAATGATGACATGTATCATATTTTGCTCAACACATTTAATTACTCCCTCTATGGCTCTATCCCATTTTCCTTGTCTTGTTTACTGTTCTTTAGTCAAACCAACTTGTCTTTGGACCTTTAATTTCTTTTAACATTTTGTATACTTTTTTTTGAATTCGGTTGTTTGGTCACTAATATTATTCATGTAGTTTCTAAATATATAAGTTTTACAGTTTACTTACTAATATTCTCTCCATCCCAATTCCTGAAGTATAAGCCCACACTTTCTTATTAGTGAAAAAAGTAAAATTTAGTTCATATTAGCGAATTGCTCCTCAAGTTAGACTAATCTGTCATATCATCAATTTTAAAAAGTAGAGACAAAGGGTGATTTAAGAAATGTAAAAAGTTAATGGTGTTCAATTTAAGGAAGTGGACCTTATTTTGGGACATACAAAAAGTGGACCTTACCAAAATACCTTGTGATATTTTCTAAATGAAATAACCATATGATGATGACGGTTTTAATATAATATCACATTCTTCTTTCTGAAGAAGGCTGTGGCAGCAAAGGCGGTATAAAACTCTGCCACTGATTTTTGCATGAATTTTTGAATTTATAATGTTACATTTGGGCAATGAATTGACAGTTTGACACCATAAATCTCATGCCACCTTTCCCAACTCTACACCATAGTAGTGATTAAGGCAATGATGATGATGATACTAAATAAAACTTTACAAAATCAAACTTTAAATAGCCTAGTCCTTTTGATCAATTGTCGTGATTGTTTGAGCCGTTTAGAATTTAGCAGATTTATTTTCACTACCATGGGTCCATCATTTGCAATGGAGCCAAAGATTCATTATTTTTTGGCTTGAGAATATGATGGAATAAAGCAAAATGGCTCACCAAACTGTCTGCGCTTCTTTGTTATGAAGCAGCAGTCAGTCAATGCAATTTTTGGACGCGATTTTCATTATGGGTCATACGGAAACAGTCTCTCTGCGCTTTAGTATAGGGGTAAGACTGCGTACATCCGACCCCCCCTTACCCCACCATATGTGGGAGCCTTTGCGGCACTGGGGTAAATGATGATTGATTGATTTTCACTACCATGGGTGGTTTTTCTGTTGAATTTGGCAGGCAAAAAGCATTTAGATTTGTTTATGGGTTTATTAGGTTCCTAATGTTCTATTTATGCTAGTTTCTGCACACTTGGATTTGTAGCACTTCTTCTTCAGTGTCATGTTTCCATTTATTTTTCTCAGCTGCTTTTAGTTTTTGAACATTCCTTCCTAATTGTCATTAGGGAATGAAGATGAATGTGGATTTGTGGGTTGATGCACCAAATTCTACACCTAGAATAAGTCATGATGTGAGGCAAAAGATAGTGAAACTTGCTAAAGATGGAGTAAGGAAGAGAAGGGGGAAACATATGAAGGTAGATATTTACACAATATCGGTGGACCAGATAGTTTTTATGCAGTTTCTAATAGTATCCGTCCTTTTGAAATTAGATGTATTTGTTGTATATATTCCAATTGCAGACATTTCAAACCCCTATGCGTCCAATAACACCAAGTAGTCTTCTGGATTCGATTTGCTGGTCAATATCTGAGCCAACTTCAACTGCCTCTATATATGTAGATTCTTCTAGTGTTGAAGCCCCTAAACTGCAGAACACATGTTTCTCCAATGACGGTAATGAGGATGTGAAGGAATCTGAATTTTCATTTGTGAACTTATCCCGACCACTTAACGAAAGGTTAGAAGGAGCATGAGAAGTTACTTCTAGTAGTATAACTTGTCATTATGAGTACAAAAAGAACTGTTGTTAGAATATTCATCTCAACAAACCTATTAGTAGACCTACATATCTACCACAGTTTGCTTAGCATATTCTATAGAACTATAGAAGGCCTATGGTTTCATTTCAGCAGACCTAGGGGGGTAAATTTCTCGCTCTGTGTCTTACTTGAGTTCAACTATGTATTCCCATGTATCTTGGTTCCGCTGCAGATGTCTTCTTCTCATTATCCTTCAGTCATGTACGAAGCTTTATGTGTGAGGACTAAATGCTTAGTTATTTCTTTTAGTAGAGAGCTTTGGGGGTGTTAGGGATCTGTAATGAAACCAACCATGTCATGAATCATGAACAAACTTTCTTTTATAAAATACAATAAACAAGCCTTAATTCCAAAACACGGGGTTAAACTGCATGAAGTAATATAAAACTGTTGATGTCATCCACCAATATCTGCATTTTTACTCTTTTCTGTCATGTATTACAGAAAATCTATAGTACACGTTATCAACACTGTAATGTCCTTTTTACACCTTTGATCCATGTTAATTTTGACTTACAATGGCTCTTCTTTAAATTTCTAGCATTAAAAAATTCAAATAATAAACTCGTACTGGGAAGCCTACTTCTAGGCATTCAATGTGCCTGAAGCAATGCAGGACTTGTTCTTCTCACCTGAAAGAATGGGATCGGATCTCAAATTTTCAAGATCTGTTTTGAATGTTTCTAGTCTTGTATGACCTGATCGGTAAGTTATAAGCATAATAAATGACGGAAACAGAACAACACTGTAGTCAGTTCCCCTTATACGGTGTTTTGAAACATTTAATGAGATGGAATTGATTTCCACCAGAAATTGAATCAAATTCTTATGATCAGAACGAGAGTTGAATTGAATTCTTATGTTTGGAGTGAAAGTTGAATTGAATTCCTTAGTTTGGAATGGGTCTAAAAATGAACTAACTTAATTGATCTTACAATTTTATCCCTTACTGTCCAGTTAGGAATAAAATAGTACATTCCAGCAAGGCTGTTTTAGTGTTTTTGTTTGTTGTAGTTCAAATCCCACAACAAATTGCACCCAGATGGGTGGGTCTGATTTCAAATCTCGTAATTCATGGAATTCAATTCAACTTCTGGGGTTTCCAGGCGTCCTATTACAGTCAATGGGGTTTCCAGGCGCCCTATTAAGTTATTCATTGCTGATGTCAATAGGGGTGTCTTGGTAACAGCTGACCAGCGCGTTTTTTGGCGTTATTGACCAGTTTAACCATCTGCCGATTGTCCTCAAAATGCTAAAACGCTATATCCTAAGAAGGGCAGTGTTCGTGAGCAGCGGATCAGCAATAAATGTGAAAAGATTTTGTACACAGTTGAATATAAGAATTTGATATCAATTTGAATATAGAGCAATTTGATAAGAATATGTGACTAAGAATTGAAGGAAAAATATAAATCCTCCTAAATATCAATTATCAATATCCAAGTTGACATAGTGGTATGATAAGTTTGAAGGAGCATATAGCTTCTAAACTTTCCCTTGTCCCCCAATCCTTCCAACCAAACATACAGTACTCCACGTCCCTCCCCTTCCCTCCAAAGCCCTTCCATGTAACAAGGACTTAGGATATACTTCCTCTTTCCCTTATAACTTTGTCATCTTTCCTTTTTTGGATGTCCCAAAAACTTTGTCACTTTACTTTTTAATCAATGAATTTGTGGTTCTTGTTAATTCTCTCTCCTTTGCACATATCTCAACCACACAGTTTTTATTTTTATTATTTCCTGTGCTGGTCAAACTTGGCAAAGTATTGACTATTGAGGGATGGAGGGAGTAGATGCTAACTAATGTGCTGAACAACTGAATACATCATTAATTATGCAGTGTTTATTTCCTCTAATTTAGCTTTCAGTTTACTGAAAAATCAAACTATGACTTCTGGGTTTGTTATCATTCAAATGAAGCTGATGCTGCACTCATCCACTGATTTGCTCTTAATTTTAATGCTTAAATGCAGTGAGAAATCCGAGACAGTATTAAAGAGCAACTTTCTGACAATACTGTTCCCAGTGGATCGTTTTTCAGAAATAGGTCATTGTTCAAGAACATATTTCAGTGATAGCGGCTTTAAGTGCCTGCAGGTCTTGGATTATATATATGCCTTTTACCAGGTAATTCATCCTAATAATAAAGCAAGCAAAAAAGAGTCGAATAAAGCATTTTAAGATGAGCTTGCTACTTCCTGTAGAGATGTGTTTAAGATGTTTAATACTCCACATAAACAGAAATGACTGCATATAGGAGAACCTTCTTTTGTGCTGAAAATAAGTCTCATTTAGTCCTAAAAAAGAACAACAGAAAAATTAGTTACTAATTTTATTTTTAGGAGCAAATGATTCTTATATTCAGGTAGACAATGGTGATCATATCTGAATAAGTGATTTACAAAATTTCATTCATATAAAAAAAAGTGTCATGAGTTTAATAAATCCCTGATATGGAAGTGTTGTGTGCCTGGGGTCTTTACGTCATAATGGATGAAAATGGTTGGTTATAATTTCTTTGCAAATCCAAGTGCAACCAATCTCAAGAGGAAAATATAGGCATATATTTTTGGCAACATGTGCTTTATACAATAACAGTTTTGGAATTATGGAAGGTGAAATTCATTGCATAATAATAATGGGTGGTTGTAATCACTTGCTTGAAAGTTGAAATGTAGGAACTTGGAATGCATTCTTTATAAGAGAGATAACTTATGCCCTGATTGATACAGTATAATGAGTCTTACTTACCTCACACAGGAAGATATGTCTGTACAAGATATAGAGCTAGCCATTCACACGGACTCCAGACATGCTGATCAGCTGCGCTCTGTGTATTGCAGCCATGAAACCACAGAGCGTGGTTACATGGAATTTAAACGGGTCGAGTTTATGGGTAGCCGTAAAAGCTTTGAAATGCTTAAGCGCATTTCTGGGGATAACAGTAGCAACGTGTATGAGTTGGTGATCAGAGCTTGACGCCAATACAGATTAGATTACTGAATCACACTTCGGTTTCAACATTGGCATGTATGAGCAAGTTCTAAATAAAAGATTCTAATATAATTTCCACATTAGTTGCCATCAATTGCGCCACATAGTGCATGCTATATGTAAGACAGAAGTTGTTGTGGCTAAGGGTGGACCCAGTCCTGATCCCGTGCCTCAATTTTTTGGCCCAGTACCGGCCAGTTTGGTCCCTCTTTTTACATTTGAACCAAGGAAGCATTTTAAAAGGGGTTTGGTATATTTAAAAGCTGAAAAATGGCGGGAAGGGGGTGGGGATAAGGATGGAGAGTAAAAAATGTATTAAATGTATAAGAAATCAGGACCAGGACTTGTGGGGCTCGTAACTGGAAATATAGGTCCCGAACTGGGTCCCATATTTTTTCTCCAAGGACCGGCGGGTCCAGGCCGGGGTCTAGCTAGTGTCCACCCGTAAGTGTGGCCTCTACATGAACAGTGAAATGTGATGCACCTTACGAACCCATTATTGTTGTGATTTTTTTGTATGCTTTACAGCTTTAGTATGAAAAAGATGATGGTATGAATCGTATGATTGTATGAATTTGTGTTTTGACTAAATAAGATGCTCATAGGACTTAAAAAGGTTGCTAGGAATCTCTGTTGGAAATGTTAACAATTGTATTAGCACGTGAATAGCAACTCTTACGAATTTACGATTATGAAAACTAGTGCTATCAATATATTCAAGATAAGACACAATTACCAGTACCAATTAGTACAGGTAATATGCTAATTCTTCTTGATTTTGTTCCCTAATACTGATCACCCATGGATGGTTGTCGGAAGTCGGCTACTCGGTGTGAGATCAACATATAAGTGAATCAGGCCATCAAGGTTGGATCTTATTTAGTTCAATGAAAGCCAAGCCTTATTAATTCCCCTTTGTACACGCTCACAACGGCGAAGCCATACCACATTACACCATAGCACATTTTTCCTTTAAGAGCTTTGTTGACATAGTCACTTCCTTTATGAAGGGATTATTTTGCTCTTGAAGTTGCGGACTTGCGGTTGAGCTTAGGCTAGGGTCAACTTGCAAGGTTATGATGTGCTCAGAGCATGGTAGTCGGGCTATGATGAGGCTGGTTGGGGGCTTCCTAAGTTCGAACCCAATTCCCAAGAGATTATTGTGGCCAATGCCGAGATTGAGGTGGCGGCTAGGGAAAGTGGAGCAAGAATGCAGGATGAAGTCCATTGGCATTTGGTATAATACTCGTGATGCTCTTTGTTGTTTTAGATACTATGGAAAGGACTATGCTCTTTATTTGTACAATAATGAAGATTCATTTTTTCTTAAAATAATAAACCTACAAATGCTTATTAGTACTACACTACTTAGAAAATATTTATTATTTCCAGTACGTCGGCATTAATAATTCAGTAATATCCTCTATGAAATCATCATATCATTTGCACAATATATTTATTCTCATGAATGTTATTTATTGTCATCCGATGTAGTTTATGGGGTGCTGAGGTAGAATTAAGGATTCTTGACGTAGCGGTTGTCGCCATGCTTGCTTGAAATGCAGAGATGAACACCGGGGTCATGGTGATGGATTGATGTACCGTGCAGAAATGAATTGTTGACTCCCTGCACATTGTTGTTCACGAAGGCTGCCCTCGCAGTTGGGGGCTGCCTTCGGTTATCATCATTATTGCTCCTCTTCTCTCCGGTCTTCAACGACTTTCCTCCGTTCTCATTGCCGTCGGTCCTTTCTTGCTGAAGCCTCAGCGGGATTCCGATGAAGCCGTGTTTCGCGCGCATTGGGCTAAGCTCCATGATGGCACCTTTGTTCTCTCCTGTAGATATATGCCAACCACAAGAGACATGTTAGGTTGCATATGTCCATTTTAAGAATTTTATCAATTCAGGATCTGAAAGATAGACGAATTGTCAATTCGGAACTTGAAAGATAAAATGTATCGATATAGAACCCAAATGATGAAAAACTATCAATTTAGGACCTGAATGATTGAAAACTATCAACCTAGGACCTAAGTTTTCATGAATTTTATTTTAAAATTTTTAAATAATATTTAGTTTTATTGAACTAATAAACTTTTGTGAAGAAAAGTTTTTAAAAAATTTGCAATGGAATTAATAAAAAATCAAATAAATTAAATCCTATGAAATGTTAGGTCCTAGATTGATAGTTTTCCATCTTTCGAGTCCTATAAGATACATTTCATCTTTCGGGTCTTGGATTGACAATTTATCTATCTTTCATGTCTTGAATTAATAAAATTCATAAAATTTTGAACCCACTAACTCTTTTTTTTTGGACAAATCTTTCTAACCTATTATAGTATCTGTTCTGTTATAGCCAGCATCATTGATCTGGGTTGAGATTCGAACCTGTGACCTCCTCTTAGGAAGTGTCACAGTGATGCCATCAGACCATAAGGTACTTGACAAACCCACTAACTCTTTACTTTCTCACTTTATCATTTTACCATTTCACTTTTCTTTTTTACTTTTTATGGGCCCAACTTACTTTTCTTACTTCTTGGGGGTTAAAATTACAAAACAACCACCTTATCTTTTATTTTCTTAAAATTCACACCAAATTCACATGTATATTACGTTATAGGAAGGAAGTACTACAATATTGTCTGTATATATTTTTGTACACCTTTTCATGCACGTTGTCTGCTTACCCAGACAATTTAGCCAAAAAGGTGTGGGTTATCCAAAATTTGTCCAATTTAGGAAGTCGTGCTTGGTGTACACATTTTTTGTGCACATCTTTGACACACTTGTCCATCTATGCAGATCGTATTATCTATATACGGACAACTCTGTCTTAGTACTCCCAAAATTGGTGTACAAAATTGGTGTACACCAATTCCCCCAAATTGGTGTCACGCCCATAAATCCATAATTGCCCTCTTTGTTATAAATACCTGCAAGTGTTATAATGCTGCTAGTTCCGGATGAATTATTATCAGCATCTGAGGAACGGTGACGATGATTGTGGTCTTTGACTTTGGTCGTCGTCCTCATCTTTCCTGACGATTCACTACTGTCCCCGCTCATACCCTCATGCCCTTGGGCTTTGCCCTCGGAAATTACTCCCTTGGTCCCTCTGCTTTCAGTTATTTCTTCTTTAACCACCCCCAAATCATTCTCCTCCGCCGGGACCCTTCCTCTCCCACCCGACTCCGTTTCCGGCTCAGACGATGGGGGAAGGGGTTGTTTCAGAGGAGGATCGGAAACGGGATTCCTTTCGTCAGAATTAGATTCATCGGTTGTTTTCACGACGGCCTCTTTTCTCGGCGACGGTGGCGGCGATCTTGATGAAAAAGTAACGGTTTTGGCCGGAGGTTTATCACTTTCCGGCAATGGAGGTGGAGGGGCAGATGGGTTAGGTAGTGGTGGCGGGTCGACGGCGTCAGAGGAGGGGACTCCGGTGGCCGTAGGAGGAGGCGGAAGAGGAGGCGGAGGCGGAGGTGCTGGAGTGGTGATTTCTGGTGGCCTTAATGCGGCAGCCACCTGGGGCCGAAATAGCACTGGTCGTGGCGGTGCTGGCGCAGCTGGCGGGCGGTATACGGCGGTACTGAGCCGGCGGGGGAGACGAGGTTGTTGTGGTCTGTCCATTTCAAGGCAACACTTAATTACTAGCAATTAAGTACTAAGTAATGGTAGTACAACAAATCAAAGCCACTCATATTTATTTATAGTCCAAGCACAAGACGCTTTAAAGTCAGAAAATGAAAACAAGGCTTGCTACTGTTTGCCAAGAAAGGAATAGTATTCCAATATAATAATAATTTCATTGCAATTTAGACCTGAAAAGCAGCAAGGAAAGTATAAGATTCAACTCTTCTGTCATCCTTCCTACAATATGTCTCTACTTTCAAGTAATGTAGCTTGCAATACATGCTAAAAACCTATAGGGTATGTTTGGTTCAAGGTGATATCTCATAGAGGGCAGAATCTGATGCTCGAAATGTGAGAGACATGTGTTTGATTTGCGGGTTTGATTTTTTTGGGGGGAATATTACATTCCCAAAAGTGGAAAAGGTGATCACATGAATGGGTATGTGAAACCCACTAGAGCCTTAGGTTATGTTAGATTCCTGGTGGCTAATTAATTTTATTCCAAAAAATCCATGCTTCATTAATCTAATACAAGTTCTTAACTTATGATATACCATTTCTCATTTTGTAATTTTAAAAATTATACCGTATTTTTTTCATTATAGTTGTTTGAAATTATTTGAACAATTATACTAAAATTGTAAGCTACTATATTTGTTCACTGATCTTTGTCATTTGTGCAATTAAACATATTTAGTTTAAAATTATTTACTAATGTTCACTAATCATAGTCATTTGTGCAATTAAATATATTTTGCTTAGAATTTATTCAATTAGTTTTTATTTTAATTATTACTAAGATGTTTTATTTTTCTACAGTTTTAATTACTTTAATTATAGGTTGTAATAAGTTTAACGTGTTAAGAGACAAATATTTAAGGACATTCAAGATTTCAAATAATTCACCAAATATGCAATATATGATATCATTCAACCAAACAACTTAATGTGACATTCCCTTAATCGTAACCAAACACAAATGAGATATACATTAATCACATTCCCATCTATCTAACATACCCAGTAATCTAACATTCCCTTGGTAATCTGACATTTCTTGAACCAAACATACCCATAATGTGATGTCTTTCTATTGTACGGATTGAATATACATCTTTCACATGCTTTAAATGGCAACCCTTCTTCTACTTGTACGTCCATCTACACGCCAATTGTCCGGCTTAACGTCCGTCTACACGCCAATTGTATTTTGTCTGCGCACAGACAATTGATTTTCATTTCAAAAAAGAAAACTGTCTGTGATCTCGAAGAAGTGAATTGTCTGTGCACATAGATAAAATACTCTTTAATTCCATGTTATCTAACACTCGGGTACTTGTACATACACTTTACCGAGTAGCTTAACTATTCATTTCACTCCAAATACTGAGTTACTCACTGCATACTGGACGACTATTATGGCATTGTGACTCGTTTTACTGATTACTAGCTTGTGAGTGGTGGATCCGGCGTCTCTGCCTTGGTTAAGCAGACAAGGAGGGTGTCTGGGTGTTTTCATCCATGAGATCAAAAAATGAAGGGTTGAAGATTAAGGGCCCTGAGTTTTGCA